GTTTGGCGGATCTGGGCTGGGGATTCGAACCCGCCACCTTAGGTGTACGTGGCTGGCGCCTTAGCCGGTTGAGCTATAGGCGCCGAGCCTAGAATCATTTCTTTATCATTCTTCTATAAAGAAAATTTTTTCTTCATTAGTTATTTGGTTATGCTGAAATATGGTTTGTATGGAAAAAGCATGAAAAACAAATTGATACTTTCTAATCACATTAATTTTTAGAATAATGATATGGTGCACTAGCAACCACCAAAGTGACCAATGGTTATTTTTTTTTAATTAAGTATAATTACTACAAATTTGTGAATTGTATGTATCTGTGTTTCAATCCATTGTAGTCGGTACTCTTGTTGAGACTCAAGTTGTACTATCTTTGGCCAATGGACTGTCTTCAAGATGTTTCCTGTGTTCTTTTGACTTGACTCCACTAGCCTTTGATATTCCTATTTTTAGGCAAGACAAGGTAGCTCAAGCTTATCTTTTACATTTTCTGCCCAGACACGAAATCAGACATTTCTCAAAAATCTCTGGTGCACGTCAGTGACCATAATCTGAGTACTAGGGCTGCTACTAGATTGGTCATTTTTTTCAACAACAAAAAAAGTTTAGTTCATATTGATATTTCCAAGTCAAATTAAAGATTGCAGGGTTTGTATTTACTTCATTTTATGTTTGTGTCAATCATTTGAAAGTTTTGGTTTTTAATGGCATTAACATAATTACTTGCTTTATCCTTCAATCCCACACGTTTCAAAAGTGAGAATAGTAACGTTATTGCTAACAATAACACTACTAACTGCAATTTAAGATTTCTCTGTGGTTGTTTTCGTCCTTAGATAGCTCTAATTAGGGAAGTATAATAAAAATGCAGTTTTAAACTTTTTGTCATAGAAAATGTTAAATGCAGACAAAAGCAGAGAGAAAGAATAGTATAAAGAATTCAGTGTAGGGGCAGTGCCTGTGGCTCAAAGGAGAAGGGCGCTGGCCCTACGTGCCGGAGGGGGCCGGTTCAAACCCAGCCCTAGCCCAAAACTGCAAAATAAATAAATAAATCTATTTAAAAAAAAAAAAAAGAATTCAGTGCAGGGGCGGCTCCTGTGGTTCAGTGAGTAGGGCACCGGCCCCATATACCAAGGGTGGCGGGTTCAAACCCGGCCCCAGCCAAACTGCAACAAAAAAATAGCTGGGCATTGTGGTGGGCACCTGTAGTCCCAGCTACTCGGGGAGCTGAGGCAAGAGAATCGCCTAAGCCCAACAGCTGGAGGTTGCTGCAGGTGATAAAGTGAGACTCTGTCTCTAAAAACAAAAAAAAAAAAAAGAATTCAGTGTACTCCATTACCCAGCTTCAACAATTATCAG